CGAATCTGATATTTTTATGTGTCAAATCAAAATGTCATGTGTCATTATTTGATAGTTGTCAGAAAAAGGGACAGATCTGGGGATTTTATTTATTTTCAACTGGTGAAAATAACGGTCAAAATTCAAACTCTATCATGAATACGACTATAAAATCTGTTTTTTTTTAAAGATAAAAGTCAAAATGACATTATGTTGGCAATACAATGTAAAATTGTCAATGCTTTCAAATTTTTTATGTAGAAAAAGCTTGTGTTGCCAACATATAGTTACTAAATTTTTGACTTGGGGAATTATCTTTAAAAAAAAAACAGACTTTACCTACAAAAATATAGAAAATATCGTTGAAAGGCAATTTTACCCCCATAGAGATCAAATGTTAATATTTTAATAGAAATAACAGAAATTGAAAACTTCCATAGTAAATACGGAGTATTTTTTAGTTTTCATGCATTTTCGTGGGCGTTTATACCTACAGTTTTTTCGGGGTTTGCCATGGAAATAATATAATTTTTTTAATTGTAACCATAGCTAGTAATTCAACTAATTCAGTTTTATTTTCTTCAAAAATAGTTTTGTTGTGCAAAATAGCATTTCGTTTGCGTTATTTGTGTTTCATTTGTGACTTGGAGGGAATTCCTCGGCAAATGAGAATGTTAGCGGGTAATGAACAAATTGAGAATATTGCCAATAGGAGAAGACAAGAATTGGGACTCAATGAACTGAATATTGACGAAAATACCCGTATATGTTTCAACTGCAGTAATAGTGTACTAGACGAAATTCGAGCATATGAAGAAGATCCTGATACAACAGTTTTAAAGGTGATTATGAGGCATAGTACTCGTTGCTGTTTTGTTTGTAATCAGGAAACATTTCATAGAATCTCACTTAAAGCAAGAGTAGATATTTACATCCAACGCGAAAGGACCCCACACACTTTTTATGGGATTTCTGACCGCGGTCAAATTTGATCAAATTTCAGTATTCTCTAGATCTCACCTTTCTGATCAATAACTACCATGGGCACAACTTAATCCTATGACTAGTTTTTGAGATACAGGTAGTTTAATGTCCAAGAAATGCACACATTTTATTATCCATTCATAATCTGATGTCCACAGGTACAGGTAAAATTGATCACCTTTCAATGCTATTTGATAGGGAAAGGTGATAAATTTACCTGTACCAGTGAACATCGGTTTGTGAATCTATGTATATAAAAATGAATGCCACTTTTCGTTGTAATTTTATAACTCAAGAACGGACTCACCTAGCCAAACCAAATGTTTAGGCTTTGTTCGGACTATTTATTAGATGGTTTATGTGAAGTTTGCACAAAATCGGTCGAGCGGTTCTTCATTTATCACATTTTTTGTAATAAATTAATTATTCAATAAATGGAGCATCATTTTGCTGTCAAATTCAAACTTTTTTCAGCGTTGACAGTACCAGCATGTTGTCATGTCATTAATGTGGTCATTTCATTACTTATTTTATTTATTTATGAAAAAAATTTAGTAATGGCCATTTCCACCAAACTATAACTAAGCTTTACTTAACTATGAAGCCCTTAAAATTTAAGGGTCGCTCAAATATAATTTCGTTCCACCATAGTTTTTAAGTGCAAGCTTAGCTAAGTGTCGTAAAGCTTTGGCAACATTGCATTTCAGGTGAAATATTTGCGTACTTTTCGTTTTTACACTAGTCGTGTCAATGTTATCTGTCATTCGTCGCTGCTCGCTAATTTTCATTTTAGATATTGGTAGTTTATCCTGCATTGTGTGTGAACGAGCACGAAGGTGCCTAGAGCAGCGTGGAGTCGGGGAATAGAAACAAACAGGGAGAGTTTATCCAAAAAAAGCCGGACACCAAACTATACAATAAAGGAGAAAGAGCTGATAATATCGCTAACATCAAAAAATAAGAACATAATTGAAAAAAAAAAAACACGGAGTATCTCTGGCCGAAAAAAATAGGCTTTAGGGGAAAAAAAAAACGCGAACTACACCAGAAATTAGAAAATTGAGAAAATTCTAATTTTATCTCAATTCAATTTCAACGTTTGTTATGTCAACAAAAACATATTATGCAAATGGCGTACGCTTATCATCGCCACTTTGTTAAGGGAGGAATAAGCCTAGAAATTTTTGGGCTTAGTTAAGCTTATTTTAATGAGACAAGGTTAGACTGGTGGAAAAAAAATTATAATGTAAGCGGCACTTAACATTAAGTAAACTTAAATTTGCGTTGGTGGAAACGGCCATAAGCCCGCATACGGCGCCATGTCTTATAACCGATACCACCCCGATACCAAGTTTATTTTGTATTTTGTATACCGCGCCATCTCTGATACCTGGAACGAAGCTCGGCATTGCAGATACAGTAGAACAATGCTGCACAGAACTATTCCACTATTCCGATCAGATAGAGTGGTACAGAAAGAGTAGGTCAGATAGAGTAGTGCAGATAGAGTAGAACATTTGGAGTAGTGCAGTGCATGCAGTGCAGATAGAGTGAAATAGGGCTGCGCTAGAGATTTTTTTTGTTTTCTTTACATTCTTTGAACATTCCTGTGCCTGAGTTTATTTTTTTGGTGGTACACTTTACAAGAATAATGCCCACAAGCTGCCTAAAAAAGGATGATGTAAAATTTTAATTCTAGGTGACTTCTGATCCAGAGAGTAAACATTAATTTTCTTCAACCAAAGCCAAATTCACCATCGAAAAAAACTGAATTTAATTCAGCTAATAGATACGTTAACACAACATTTAATAGGTATATTTAATAATTCAGAGGCGGTACGAAGTTCGCCGGGTCAGCTAGTAGGATATATAAATGCATTTACATCTACCTGTCACCTAATAATACGAGGATGGACAGGTATCCTCACGCTCAGGTGACAGGTAGATGTAATATGGTAAATGCATATAAAATGTGTGCATCTCTTGGACATTAAACTACCTGTATCTCAAAAACTAGTCATAGGATGAAGTTGTGCCTATGGTAGTTATTGGTCAGAAAGGTGAGATCTATAACATACTATTTCCAATAATTTCTAAGCAAAGTTGATCACTTGATCTTTTACAGTCTGACACACGGTTTCCGCTTAAGAAAATAAATACCGTTTCTCTGCATGATCTTTATAATAGCCCTTTTCGGAAACGCTGATCCGATCAACCTGATCACCAGCTGATGTACTTTGTCTTTTTTCAATCGATTCCATTAGAGAAAGATAAAAAACAAACAGCTTGTAATCGAGTGAATAGGATCAGCGTTTACGAAAAGGCCTAATATCGTTAATATGACTCACCATGCAGAGAAATACATTTTATCTTTTTAGGTGAAAGCCGTGCGTCGGATTCTAAAAAATCAGGTGATCAACTTTGCATAGAAATGATTGGGGATTTCAAGAATAATTTTTATTTCAAGAGAAATCAGTGGCGTACCATCAATGTCATTGAAAATAGGTAGATCAAATTCCGTTCAAACGCCATTGACGTAAATTTTTAAAAATGAAGTACATTAAAAAATGCCTCTTGATACATAGTACGTGTGGTATGTCAAACTTAATTAAAATATCTAGAGTGGTGTTAGAGATATTATGAATAATAAATGATTCATTTTTGAAAAATGTATCACCCTGTATGATCCTTTAAATATTGACATTCTTAAACACAATTAGACAACACCCTGTACATATAAAGTTAAAATTTATTTGAAAAATACTACTAATAAGTAGGTGCCTACTTATTGCAAAAACTGTCCTTTGTCTTCTTCAGAATGCATGAAATGATAAAATCTATTCGGTATTTAAACTATACCCACAGGACGTACCATACAATTTTCTGAATTTTCAATATTCTAAACAAAGCAAGAAACGAAAAGAAAGCTAGAAACTAGGAACTTTGAAGGTTTTATAATGGGACACCCTGTAAGCTTCTACTTGAAAAAAAAATTGTTCCTAAATATACCGATTTATGTATCAAATCTTGTTTGCTGTTTTTACTGGTTTTCAAGGAAAGATTTACTTTTAAGCCAATCTGTAGGAATCGCAAAATGAATCTGACTTCGATTTTGAAAAAAGTCATAATAATAAATTCTAAAGTTAAAGCTCTATAAATCTGTAACTAACGCAAAATTCCACTATCACACCTTCCTATTCAAAGTAGGTAGGTAGTTTGTACAGGGTGGCCCGAGGGGCCTATATCTTATCTGGATTTCTACAACGGTTGAAAAAAAAAAATCTTACAAAACTTGTTTCTAATGAAATTATTTACAATTTTTTGGCATTGGTTTTGTTGTCACTCTACTATATTATACAGGGTGGACAAAAAAAATCATTTTTTTCAATAGAACACCCTATATTTCAATATGTGTCTGTGATATACCGTTTCGACCTTATTAGCGATTATCTTTTTTGGGATTTGGGGCGATTTTCAACAGTTCTCCGATCCTGAAGATAATCGCTAATAAGTTTGAAATGGTATATCAGAGACACATGTCCAGTATATCGTTGGATATATCTTTCGAAGGGCTATGTAAAAGTAGGGTGTTCCATTAAAAAAAGGTTAGGTTTTATTTGTCCACCCTGTATACGGTAGAGTGACAACAAAAACAATGCAATAATTTTATTAGAAACAACTTTTGTATTTAATTTTTTTACAGCCCTTGAAGATTTCGAGAAAAGGTATATAGGCCCCTCTCAAACGGGCCACCCTGTACACCTTAACGTGTGTATCTTAGGAAAATAGACACCAGCTTGATATTTTGAAAGCCTTGTTCTTGAAATACTTAAAATGCAATTATTCAAATTTTGCTGTCAACACTTCAATACTTCACACTTTCAGGTCAAATATGATAGAAAAAGTCATTAAGGCAGGTAGCTCTTTAATTTCAATTGCCCTCAAAAGTCAGTAAATATTTTCATTTGGTCATTCCGAATCCCAGAGTGCGGTCGTGCAACTTTAGTTTCCTAATTTATTCTAAACTTTTTACGATAATGGAAAACAATTTAATCCAACAAATTGAGGAGCAAGAAGTCCTCAGGTCAATCTTTTGGAACCAGTGGCGGAAAACCCAAGAGGTTGAAAACACTTATAGCATGAAAGTCGGAAAGGACGTCGAAGTGTGGATTACTTTGAACGACTTCTATCCGTTGCAAAAGCCTCCCAGTTACGAGTTATGGGCGCCGAATTTGTCGAAAAACGACAAGGATTTCGTCGACAGAGAATTTGAAGCGATATTTGAGTGAGTTGTTTGTCAATTTTTATTTTTGGTGGGTTACTTTTTTTAGTGGTTCAATGTCAAGTTTGTATATAAGTGAAACTAGTATTTTCTCCAAATCTTGCATTTTCAATATTTATCTCTCTATTGGAATTTACCTTCTAGGTACAGGTAGCAGTTCCTTTTGAACCAAATCAGACTCAAAGTTGATCTTCTATTCTTTATTTCTCTTATCTTTCTTAGGATTATAAATCAAACATTTCTATTGTTAAAATAGTTCCAATAAGGAGGTTTTCAAGCCAATCACCCCTTTCAACAGCCGTATTTGAATAATTTTATTTTGTCTAGATCAAACAAAGGCTTTCCCATCATCTTCCAATGGATCGAAAAACTAAAGGAAATTGTAGAAGCTAAAGACAAACTGAGGGCAATTAAAACCAAAACGGAAAACCGATTTTCAGTTGAGCAGAAAAAGTTATCTGAAAACCGGAAATCAGTTGTGGGAAAATGGAAAACAGCACAGAAGCCAACTTCACGGAAACACTTAGAAAAAGAAAAATGGGAAATCACTCATGGACCAGCTATAAGTGACCGTAAAAGTACTTTCCAGGCACATGTTTGTAGAGTAACCGATATCAGTCAGATTAAGTAAGTATTTGATTAAGAACTACCTACTTCATTAAACACCTACAAAATACTAAAAACGATTGACAAGAAATTATTGTCACCATTTGAATACGTTTGCCTTCTTCCTAATATCTATGATATAATCAAATTGATAATCGAATTAATAAAAAACATATTTTCTTTCAGTGAATTCAAAGAGAAACTTCTAGAAAACAGAAAGATCGCCCAAGCCAAGCACAACATCGTCGCTTACAGGATTGCGACAGACAAAAACAATTTACTGCAAAATAGTGAAGACGACGGAGAAGCCCACGCAGGAGGAAAGTTGCTGTACTCCTTGGATGTACTGGGTGTGCGAAATGTAGTCGTGGTGGTTTCACGATGGTACGGTGGCATTCAGTTGGGTCAGGACAGGTTCAGGCATTACAATAATGCTGCACGTCAGGCTTTGGCCGAAGCCGGAATCATCGGGTGATTTTTACAAATCGGATCCAAATAAAATAACTTACCAAAATAATCAATTAAAAACCTATTAAATTTCAAATTAATTTGTATACCATTTTGAATTTTCTAGTATGTAGTAGATTATATATTTTGATACGTTATATTTATTACATATTTTTTCCAGAACTTCCTAAGAAACTAAATGACTTTTGTACAGCTCTGTTATTCGTACTTTCTTAGAGGGTGTTGGAAAAAATAGAGTTTTTCAATATTTTTCTTATTATTACCATTATTTAGATATAATTTTTAAAAAATCGTGATTGTTAATTATTAAAGTAATAATAAATAATCTATTTTTTAACCATCTATTTTATTATAATGACTGCAATTTAATAGACTTTGTGACAGCCAAACATGAATTTCAGAATTTTTTGTGAAGTTGTAGGTAAAGCTTTTACCTATACTTATGAAACCTTTAAGGTAGGTATTTCAAGATAATATGTTGGAGGATCTTCATATGAGTTTCTGTTGGGTCAGTTTGAAACTGTGATAACTTGTTCATTGCATAGGCTATGTCAAGTCTTGTTCTCATGACAAGAAATAGTCGACTTCAAAACTTTGACTGATTAGGCTCTTTGCTATTTTATCTTCCTCTCTTACCTTTAGAGCTTTGGTACCAGGATCCATTGAAACTGAGGCCGTCTTACAGTTCATCATGTCATATTTTTGGAAAACTTTTTCTAAGTAGCGTTGACTTAAGGACACAGATGAAGAGGATTCCATAAAATTTGCAGCGATAAAAAGAATTTTAGTTTCCATAGGTAAGTGAGCTCAATATTCTTAGATAAAATATCTTCCACTTGTTGAACATCTTTCTCAGTTTTGCCTAACATACATAAATCATCCACATATATAGACTGCAACTATCTGTCTTCCATCTTGTGACGTGACAGAAACATACATGAATCAGCTTTGGATTGTTTCAGGTTTATTTCTTCCAAAACACTCACCCATTCATGATTCCATAATCTGGGAGACTGTTTGAAGCCGTCTATAATTTTCTTCAAATAACAAACTCTCACTGGCTCAACGGCAACACCTTCTAGGATTTTCATGTAAATTTCAACATCTAAATCACCATTGAAAAATGCTATTTTGATGTCTAGTTCAACAATCATATCATTATGTTCACAGTGTGCAAGTAAAATTCTTATTATCTGATATTTTACAACTGGAAAGAAGGTTTCCTCAAAATCAATGCCTGGAATCTGTGTGAAACGTTGAGCCACTAATCTAGCTTTGAATCTTATTACCATTTTCCGACATTTTTTCTTAAAAATCCATATGCATCCAACAGCTCTACAGTTTGGAGGTTCTTCTACTATCTCCCAAACTTTATTATTTTTCATGACTCGAGTTCGTCTCTGATTGTCAAAATTCATTTGTCAAAATCAACACAGGAAATAGCTTGTTTATAAGACCCCGGTTCTCCACTTGCTAAGCATAGAAACTCATCATACCGTTTTGGTAGTTTTCTTGATCTATCACTTTCAAAATGTTTTGAAGTAACAGTATTTTTGTCAATATCTATACTAATTACTGCTTCTTTATTTTGATCATTTTTATGCATTTGATTATTTTCATTTTCGTCATTCTTTTCTATTATGTTTGGTCCAATATCTTCAGTTTCGTTTCCTCCATTTTGATTTTCATTTTTCCGTTGATATTTATCTTCTTGATTATCAAACCTATTTTTAATTTCTGATTGCAAATCATATTTTTCTTCTATATTATACAGGGTGTCCCACGAGGTTTTACCCAAATGATAATTTCGGAACGCGTCATCGTATGTTCCACGTGTAATTCTTTTAATCATTTTCTTCGACAAAGCCTTAGCAAATATGGCATTGCTGATTTCGTAATTTAATTTTCTAACGAAAAACGCTGTAAAATACCTTAGGTTACATTTAAGATTCTAAAGTTGCCGTCACTTGACCGAAACTGAAACGAAAGTGGTGAAATTGAATGACACATTATGTAGAAGCGGCATAAAAAGCTAACCAGATTCTCAAAATCTTGATTACATTGGATGACGCGTTCCGAAGTTATCCACCTGGGAAAAACATCGTGGGACACCCTGTATAATATATATAGAATATAATACCATCTTCTCTCAAAAATCTTTAGTCTCCAGAAAGGACAACTTTTTGGATTTGATTATTGCAGAATCTGTACCAACCATTCTTCTCTCCATATCCCACCACCAAAGCTTCTTGTGATCTAGGTACAAATTTGCTTCCATTTGATCGTATTTCTGCTTTCTGTTCAAAATATCTTAAATGAGATATTTCGGGTTTTATTCCGAAAAACATCTCGTATGGTGTTTTGTTTATGGAACGAATGTGGTATCCTATTTTTTGTCTAGACTGTGACTACAACAGTGAATACGGAAGATCTGCATCAATGAGTGATGTTCTAGCCATAGCAGTGGATGTGGCCTTCTACGTCACTCTTATGCTTTATAGAAATTACCTGTGACGTCTCACACATGGGGGGACAAACAAAGTGTTTGAGGACTATTTACAACACTGAAAACTGTGGCACTGATGATAAACAAAACGTCATTGTGACGGACTTGTCTGAAGGTAAGAGTAATATGTGTTTCAGCGACTGACTTCTCAATTTCGTTAAAGAGACTTACTGGAGCATGTCCTAATCTTCTATGCCATTCAACAACGCTTAGGTTCAGATTTTCATTTTCTTCTTTATTCTTCCCATAGTCCTTATCTTCTTGGAAAATTTGTAATTTTTCAGATGGTAATACTCGTCCTACTACCTTATCATATATATCATATCATGAATATAATTTCAGTTTTATTTCCTTCAATTTTTACTCATTTTTTGCCATGACATTAAGGGACATTTGAAATCTGGCACATACAGAACATCATACAACTTTGATATACTTTCTTGATGGTAGTAAAGCATTGAGACTTACTCGGCTGTCCCAGTGCAAAACACAGTAACTAATATTTTCGTCAAAATTCAGTTAATTATAGGGATTTGCGGTTGCTGTGTTTTGCTGAACATTTTGATATTTTACAAGCTCAAATCCCTTGATAAATAAGGAAAATAGAGTGTATTCAAAACACAGTAACTGCTCGCAAAAATAGTTATCTATGGTACTAGTGTGTTATGTTGAAAATAAGTCACGCGAGAAAAACTTATAATAATTTCTCGAGTGACTTAGAAAACATAACACACGAGTAGCATACAATGTTTTATCCAACAACTAAGAAATCATAACACACGAGTAGCACATAAGAATTGAAAAAACTAACAGGTATTATTTGGGAATGAGTCTCCTTCAAAGCGTGATTTATAAAAAAATTATTTCCTGACGTTTTGCGTTAATGTTATAAGAGAGTGAGTTATAAACCATAACCCACTAGTGAGTTATGGTTTATAATACACTAGTGTGGTATTTGATAGTTTACCTGTCTAAATTGGCACAAATAATGACTCTTATAACTAGCAGGTGTTGGATAAAATATTTTACTATTACAAAACACAGTATTTATCAAATCATACTGAGTGTACGAAAAGTAACGGGACGGTCAATAATTTCTGAAATCACAAAATATCGTACCTGAACGTTATTTGACAAACCGAATTCCAGAAATCGCATTGTTGCTGTTGCCAAACTTACCAATTTTTCTGAAGGCTTACAACATTTTAAATGAAACGCTCCACATATTGATATATTTAACTCCATCGATTGGTCTTGTCCTATTTAGTATGAATTCGAAATAACAGGTGACTGAATTTATTAGTCTGGGAGATGTGGCAAACCAACGTTCATCAAAATTAAAAATGAAAAAGATTGCGTGCCTACAGACAAACTAGTAAGTCTGGCAACAACGTCAATAAAATTGCTGAAATAGTCTTGTGCAGTAACGTCGAAGAATGAGATTTTGTTTAAATTGCACCACTGATTTCAGAGAAAATTGACGGTCTCGTTACTTTTCGTACACTCTGTATATCAAAACACAGTAATTACTTGGCAGTTACATATGAATGAAACAGAAGCAAATGCTTTTTTCTATGAGTATTGAATAATATGCATAATCTACATCCATTTTCTATTGATCAATGTGAATGATTACTCATACAGTGAGTTTTTTTTCATAACTCAATTGTTTTCAACCAAAAATAAACTGATCTCATTACTCCACTATTTAGGAGCCAATCAGAAAATTCGACAAGTTGACAACATTGATTTAGGTTTTTGCCTGTAAATGTTGGAAAAGCTCAATCTTCTTTATTTTTCTGAGAAACATTTGCATTTTCGATTACCTACCTCTCTTTTTGTTCTACAATATTCTACTGTGTGTCCTATAAAACATTTTTTATTTTCTTTGCAATATGAACATTCTGGATTTCTAGCTCTCTGAAAATAATTTTTCCTACAGCCGTGCGGAAAAATCGATTTTCCGCACTGATATGCGTGCGGAAAACGAGTTTTCCCGCACGGTGCGGTAAAACTTTTTTTTTTGACATATCAGTGCGGAAAAAATTTTGCCGCACTGATATGTCAAAAAAAAAAGAAAAATTTTACATTTTTTCGCCTGTAGGAAAAATATTGTACCTAACACTTGCGGAAAATATTTTTCCGCACTTGTTAGGTAAATAGCTATTTCCTTTGTTTTTCAATCAGGGCAGTACAATCATCAGTAGGTATTCAAATCAGACATATTATTCAGAACGGATGACTCTAATAATCTGGCACAAAGGTCATCATATGTTAAGGTGTCTTTGGTTTCTAAATTATCTCTAATGTGGTCTATCTCGCTAGGTAGAATACTGAGAAAAAAATATCCTTTGCCTCTTGTTGAGGTTACCTATTGCTAGATGATGTAAAACAGCCTCCAATGAGTTTTTACTTTTGAAAACTGAGGTTCTTCCTACCAATCTAGCCCAAAGTTTGTTACATCTGGCAACGTGTTCAGGAATATCTTTAGCCGACTCGCA